CTGTGGAGTTTCTGAGGTCCACTGTATCTATGCTGAAGAAAAGGGTCCTTGACTTGCAGAATAAAATTTATTATTCATGCTGAAGAAAGTTATCTATGCTCGCAGGTCTCTTGTATCTTTTGCTGGAAAGTATCTTTCGCACGATCATTCTTTCGTTCTTTCCCATTGTCAAAAAGAAGGTGATGATGCTAAGTGGAGCGACCACCAGTTGTTCAAGATATATATACCTCACACAGACCATGATCTTTTTGGCCCTGCATTTGTTGAGGCAAGTATATATTTTCCATCCCATGTTCTTTGATTAATTAGTCTCACCTGCCCCTGCTACCCTCCCCAAGCATAAATAAAGTAAGATGAAAATAAGTTTTAAAAACAATTATCTGAATGTTTTGTCATGAGATAAGTGTTTTGTGAACAATTTTAACATCTTAACACTGCCTAAAAGTTTGTCTCTTTTGGGTGTGCATGAAAAAGAAAAAGACGAAGAAAGGAAAAAGGAAACCGAAACTTCATCAAGTTATTTGAACCAAATTAAATTTAGACTTCTTGACATGGTAATAGACTAAGAAATGGAAATATTGGTTGTATCCTGTCTTCCAATATGTTTATTTTTATCTTCCTCTCATAGTTTTTTGTAAAATACCGTGTAGGTGGAGAATCATTCAGGCTTATCAAATTTTATTCCTATTCTCATTGGGGATAGCGAAACTTGCTCTGAAATGAAGACTATACAGGAGCGGCTTGATATGTCTCTGCTTGTCGAAGCTACTGGTTCTTCACATGAATCTTGTGAACATTCTTCATTGAGACAAAAAGTACATTCAGAACTCATGATGGACATATCTTGGTTGCTTAAAAAGCCTTCGTCAGAGCATGTGCAGCATATTATGAATTCGTCACAAATTCAAAGATTCACCCGGTTGTTGAAATTTTTGATACGCAATGACTCAACGGTCATTTTAGGGAGAGTCTTAGAACATCTTAAGATTGTCATGGAAAATGTAGAATCAGACGTGGCGGTTAACGGCTTCAGTTATCCCGATTTAAGGTTTTTTGAGAAGTATTTGGATTCTGCAAGAGATGTTCTTCAACTGAATCTTCATAAAACTGGGAATTCAGTGCTACACTTAGGACATCCTAAGTCTAAAGGGGACCGTGTTTCTCAAAGCTGCTCCGAGAACAAATTGGTTTCTGTTGTTCCCGGGATTGTACTGGTAAGAGTTTCAATGTTTTCTGTAGGGTTTTTAATATTGAATTTGTTTTTCATTCTTATTTGATCATTTCAGATTTATAATTTATTTTTTGAATTGAGTAATGACGAACTTTTATACTAAGCAAAGAGCCAAGTACAAAAAGAGGAAACCAACAGCTAGCCAAGGGTGTGTTAAGATTCCTCCAATTGGCATTTGATAATATATATATATATATATATATATATATATAAATACTGAAGACATTATAAAAAATTGCCTACTGTTATCTAACCTCCAGAGAAGCCTATTATTTTGAAGGATCGAGGAATGTCTTTGAATAGTTTGATGGAAGGATGTGAAATCCTGTATATCTCTATTGTAAAGTGGTCCATCGAGATGCACCTTTCAAGTGCTGTGCTCTTGATTCAATTTAGAGAGATACAACCGATTAGTTTATTGGTAGTTCCTCCTGCTTTCGGTTATGTTGCCTCTGCAGGATTTTTTACTGGCCCATGTCGAAGTCACAGTGAAGGCACCGACAATCATTACAGATATCATACAGACCATAGTGGTCTTGTCAAATTCCTTTCTACCTACAGGGAGGGAGTAAGCCCCAAAAGTGGAGTTCTCTCTGCACATGATTTTGAGAGATAGATTCCCAGATCTATGAATATATTCCAACCTGGATTAAGGGCTTGGAACTATTAATTTAGGCCCTATTGCAGGGAGGGGTGATTGGCTATGGATGTTATTCCTCACCCCAAATTTTATTTTCTTAGGTCTTTTGCTCATTTGAGTTTTTCGAGGATCGAGTAGTTTAGGTATTTTGACACCAGTTTTGCATTCTTTTAGACTCTTCCTTGGGAAAAAATTGCCTGTGACAATTTAATAATGGTCTTTACCATGTTAAATCACCCCGGAAAATTTGAGCTATCAGATACCTCCTAGGACAGTAATGGAATCCTATTGCGAGCTTCAAACTCGACCTGTAAAATATATTTTTTTCCAAGGTGGTGCTGGTTGATTATATTCACCCTGCATCTTTTACAGCGATATTTCGGTCATATTTCTTCTGTTTGTTTTTCCTGCAGAAAATGGAGTCGAGAGAAAATGGCCATTTTCGAACAGTGGCAGGTTCAACCTCCATTGGTAGTGTGGAAACAGTACCCCTTTTAAACAAAAATCTCGGCGAGAAAATAACTGTTCGAGCCTTTACAGTGAAAGAAGAAAGCCGAAAGCAAGAACATTCAAGAAAGTCATGTGGTCTTCTATTCTCTGGGGCTCATTTTAGGCGTCAGACAACATTGTTTGCAGTTACCTTCGTTGCTGTTTGTTTTGGAATATGTGCAGCTTTAGTTCATTCTCACAAGGTTGGCGACTTTGCTGTTTCGATCCGTAGGTGCTTGATCAATAAGTTGTAGAACAAGAAGGATCTGAACTTGAACATAACTCTTCTGATCCATTCTTTTGTTCTGCTGAAAATTAGTTCAAGAACTGCCCGCCCGCCCACTTGTGGCATCCCCTTTCTCCAGCGAATGCGAAATGGACGCCTCGACCAAAACTTGGTCTCACTGCCAAACCAACAGGTTACTTACCTACATAGTTTTGGTGTGTTTAGAGCAAAAGCCTCTGGATCATTCTATTGTTTGATACTGATATTGCTGTTCTACGTCTGGTCGACCGATGTGAATTTTTCCCCGGTAACGACATGGCGTTCATAGTCTGTTTTTGGTTGCATTGGATGCGGGATTCCTAACTTTTGTACATTTGTATCTCACCTGAAGCAAGTTCAAGCAGATGCTGGACCTCTGTATTGTAATAATTTCCAGGTTTCACGGCTAACAATGAATTTCTCATTCATCACAGCCTAGACTACTGAGTTTTCAATGCTTTCGAAGTCATATTTCTACTTGTATTTCCATTAAACTCCATTTTTTAGTACAACTACTTTAGGGTCGAAAGATTTAAACCTCCGACTTCGAAAGGAGTACATGCCAATGACCATTGAGCTATGCTCCGGCCCGGGCCTCAAACTATTAGGGTAATGGTACAATTTATGGAAAGGATGTTTGTACACGGGTAGGGTGGTTCTCTCTGTTCTTTCACGCACGCATAGGTTCTAAACACCTGTGTTATGATGGACACGTGATGGACTGAATGATCTATTTGAAGACAGGATCGATGAAAATACAGGTAGAAATATCGACATCGAGAGTATTGGAAACTCAATGAATATATCAATTAAAACACTAGAGATCTATTAGTCACAAAATTAATATCATTTTCAAAGAATCAAATACATAATTTAACAAAAAAAAAAAAAGTTGGGTCGAAACCAAAAAGAGATCGGAATTGAATGATTAGAGTTATATGGCCAAAATTTTGGTTTGGGATTAAGTGAATAATTAGGTGTGTTTTGGGACCATAAAACATAGGAAAAGAAAGACAACTAGGCAAATGATGAAGTTGAATGATTTTCTAATTATGTATCAATCTGACTCGGATCCTACTAATCCAAATTCATATCAGAAACAAATTGCAACATTCGCCTAATTTCTTTTGTCACCATTATTTTCATATTCCAATTTTACCTAATTTCTTTGTGTTTGCACACATTAATGACATAATAATTAATAAAAATACTTCTAATTTTTTTTTTATCTAAAAAAATATTTATAAATTTTTAACCATATCTAAAAAATATTTTAAAAAATACCTTGAATTTTAAAAAGTTTAAAAATATTCTTACTATTAATTAAGAGTCCGGTTTCAATGAACCAAAGATATTTTCATTGGTTTAGGGTAAAATTGTAAATCTAAAAATTTAGGGACTAAAAAAAAGTAATTTCCAAGAAGAAAAATAGATATTTATATATTAATGAGAGATTATAAATTTTGGGTTAAAAATAAGAACACATTTATTATTCCTATAATTTCAAAAAATAAAAGAAAATAACAATATTAAAAAAAGAAAAAGAAAAAAGATCATCCCTAGTCTCGCTCGCATCTGAATAAATTACCAAAATTATAAAAAAGAATAATTAAAATAATGATTAAGAAATGTTCATTTAGTTTAAATTAAATAAAAACAAACAAACAAATAAATAAATACAAGTTGGCATTAACAACAATATTAGGAAAAGATTATTCAGCAAATTGGAGATTAGGCTGCCGCCCCCCTTGCCCTTTCAATCTTAATTACTTTAATTCTATTTTAATCCATTCAAACAAAACCAAAGTTAAAACCGTTTTTCGAGTCGATAGATTTTGAATTTACATCTAACTGTCGTTAAAGAAAATACAACTGATAATCTTGAAAAGATTCAATTTTGTTCTTTAAATTACTTATCGTCCTAACCTATTAGCTGAGAATTTTGAGTTTGGTGGTGATTTAACATGATATTACAATAGGGTAGACCCGTTCGAATCTTTGTAATATCGTTTTCTCTCTCATTCATTATTGATGAGCGGTGAATATTTAAATTGATTGATAATAAACTTCCCGACATACTATTTGATAAATTGCAATTTTTTTTAATAAAATTACAATATTACCCTTCTTCGTAAATAATTAAAAATTACTATTGGGTTGATAAAAAATTAGACTTAAAACAACGTTTTATTTTAAATTTTAAAAACATATTAAAAAAAAAAAAAAATTACAATTTACCCTTCTTTATTAATTTTTTTTTATTTATGAAAACTGAGACTTGAAATGAGTGTGACGATGACTTAGACAGGTATTTACAGCTCAATTTTCGTTCCAAATCCAAATTTTATGTAATATTCTAACGAAAATTTTTAAAATTAGTTTAGCTCCGAGATCTTTGTTTGTTTGTCTCGGGATCCCATCGGAAGTGAAGTGAAGAGACAGCCAAGTTTCACATGCTAGCTTTCATAATTATAAGTTTAAAAGCAATGCCCACTTGAAATAGCTCATTCAATTTGTTTGTTTAATCATTTGCTTGCAAACAAGGACCAGAAACAAGTGGCGGCTATGAAATTCCCATTCTACACGTTTAATTTAAAAGCATAGCAATTGGGTTTCATATTTGAGATAGAGAAACAGAGTCATCAATGGCGATTGAGGAGTGGAAGGAGCTTGAAAATGGCGATCATGGGGATTTGCAGAACCCATTGATGCCAACACAGGAAGAACAACAACAAAATGGAAGCCTTCAAATGCTTTATCTTAGTACCTTCGTTGCTGTTTGTGGCTCGTTTCAATTCGGATCATGTGTAAGTCTTGCCTCGTCCTTCCTCTTCTTTCGCTTTCGTGTTTCGGTTTTGTGAGATTCTGTATCGGTTGTAGAGAGGAACGAAACATTTTTTTTTACAAGGGTATGGAAATCTCTGTGTGGGAGACACGTTTTAAAAACCCTGAGGGACAACCCAGAAGGCAAAGCCCAAATAGAACAATATCGGTTAACGGTGGGCTTGAGCTTGAGCTGTTCCAAATAGTATCAAAGCCAGACATCAGGGCGATGTGTTAGCGAGGAGGCTGAGCCTCGAAGGGGGGTGAACATGAGGTGGTGTGCCAGCAAGGACGCTGGGCTCCGAAGGGGGTGAATTATGAGATCTCATCTCGGTTGGAGAGGGGAACAAAACATTTTTTATAAGGGTGTGAAAATCTCTATGCACCAGACACGTTTTAAAAACCCTGAGGGACAACCCAAAAGACAAAGCCCAAATAGGTCAATATCGACTAGCGGTGAACTTGGGCTGTTCCAAATAGTATCAAAGGTACACATCAGGGCGATATGCTAGCGAGGAGGCTGAGTCTAGAAAGGGGGTGGACACGAAGCGGTGTGCCAGTAAGGACGTTGGGATACGAAGGAGGTGGATTGTTGGATCCCATCTCAATTGGGGAGGGGAACGACGTATTCCTTTATAAAGAGTGTGGAAACCTCTCCTTAATGAATCTCTCTATCTCTCCTAAGTTTGTATTGCAACATACGAACTTATGTTACAAAACGTGTTTTAAACCCGCGTCCCATAGGAGGAACCGCCGCCATTATGACAAGTAGTTTTACACTATCAGATATACATATTATAAAACGTGTCTTAAACCCGTGGCCAATCGTATCTTTACAAGTTTAATAGCCAAATAAAATGTTAAGTATCAATGATGAAAATGAAAATTAAGATAGTATATTTTGAGTGGGCCGGAGGTAGAAACCATGAAAATGGCGGAGGCCCAGTTATTGGCCCAACAGGTCATTTGGGCCCAAATTAGAAAAGGATTGAAATGATAATAATTATTTATATAAGCTCTATAATATAATTTGAAAATGAAATAATTATGGGTGCCAGGTGGGATATTCAGCGCCAGCTCAAGCAGCAATAAGGGAAGATCTAAATTTGTCTCTATCTGAGGTTAGTTATTTTTTCTTGTTATAATTAATGAAATTAAATAATATTATTAGTAAGTTTGAATAAATTTAATTAATTAAAATGTACAGTATTCTATGTTTGGTTCTATACTTACCATTGGAGCAATGTTTGGAGCTGTAACAAGTGGGAGAATTGCTGATTATATTGGTCGTAAAGGGGTAAGTCCTAATTTTATATAAAAATAAATTTTAATTTTGTTTGGTAGAAAAAAAATATATTCTTTTTGATATTTTTTAAAATTCACAAAATTATTACACATAAAATTAAATATAAAAAAAAAATTTAGACACAAAATTGGTTTAATTTTATTTCACAAAAAATAAATAGGAGAAATTAGTATTTACGAGGTTAAATTAAAAAAAAATTAAATAAAAAATAAAATAGATTATCAAACGGATCTAAATTATTATCATATGTAATTTTAGTTTTTATTTTTTTATGACTGGCAGGCAATGAGAATGTCGGCTTATTTCTGTATAATAGGATGGATAGCAATTTACCTTTCGAAGGTATGTTTTCGTATATTTTTTTTTCTTAAAAATTTATAAAACGTCTTTTATTTTATAATAAAATATCAATTTTTAAGATGATAATTAATATATTATTCAGTGAATTATGCGATATATTATATCGTATATTTTGTATTAGGAATCTTTGTCACTGGACATTGGAAGGGTGCTCACAGGATATGGCATTGGAGTCTTCTCTTATGTGGTCATATTCTCATTACTTAATTTTAATTTTATTTTCCTAATTTAAATGATAAATATTTTGAATCCTAAATCAACGATGACGTTGCCAAACGTGTAGGTTCCGATATTTATAGCCGAAATAGCTCCCAAAAATCTTCGTGGAAGGCTTACAACCCTAAATCAGGTGAGAATATTGAACTCATCAATTTTATTCGAGATTTGCATTTTGTAGCATTTGTTGTCATCCGTTCGTTTTTCATTAATTATTAATGTGATATTTGTTATAAAAATTATTTTTAATTTTAAAAAAATAAGAAAATTTCAGGTCGATTTTCGATTAGTAATAAATGAAAAAAATTGATCGAGATATAAAAATGAAACCAAATACAACTCAAACTGATCCCTAACCTGACTTTGTTTTACAGCTATTGATTGTCACTGGTTCGTCGGTTGCTTTCTTACTCGGAACGATTGTAACATGGAGAACACTTGCTCTCTCAGGTAAAACTTATCTTCATTATTAATGTTTTTCCATTTCGGCATTTTTTTTCAGATACCGCTAACAAATATAATTCCCTTTTTATTGATTAAAAAAAAAAAACGAGAAATAAGAACAAGAAAATTACCAAATGGGGCCAAAACTTTTTGTATTTACATTTTCTTCTTTTAAATTTAAATTTGGATGGAGGACTAAATTGCAATTTTGGGTTTGATTTGTAGGACTTATACCATGCACTACCCTTCTTGTGGGTCTTTTTTTTGTTCCGGAGTCCCCTAGATGGCTTGTAAGTCTTCTTCCTCCTCTTCTTCCGCCGCCACCGCCGCCGTGGCCGCCGCCTTACTGTGTGTGTGTTTTAGGCAAAGGTTGGGCAAGAGAAGGAGTTTCTAAGTGCATTGCAGAGACTTAGGGGCACAAATGCTGATATTTCAACCGAAGCTGCTCAGATTCAAGTAATTTTATTTTATTATTTTATTTATTTATTTGAATTTATTTACTTACCTTCAAAAATCCACTTTTTAATCTATATATTTCCAATTTTATAATAATTATTTTATATTTATATTATAACAAAAATCTAAATTTTCATTTTCATTTTCATTTCTTAATACAGAAATACAAGAATTATCCAAATCCAACCTATATATTGAAAACTAAAAAATAAAATTTAAAATTTAGTTGAAAATTTGGATGAAAATTATAGTAATATTAAAAAAATTAAATAGTTATTAAATGAGATTTATAAACTAACTAATTTAATATATATTTTTTATTTTTTATTTATTTTCATGAAACTAACAACTTTGTTATTATATAAATATTTATTTTTAATTTTCAGAATTATATTGAAACTATGCAAAGTCTCCCCAAGACCAAGTTGGTTGATTTGTTACAGAGAAGATATATTCGCCCTTTGATTGTGAGTAATATCTTACCATTTATATAAAATCCCATATTTATATTTTTTATTTATTTTTAAATTATAAATGAAAAATTGCACGAGTATGAGAATTAAAATAGGAGACAGGGATCGCTTCCCATCCTGCTCGCCCGATATACATCTCTAAATTTGATAGATATCCATGTTCTCGAGCATCTACAACTCTAGTATCTGAAGATTTTAGCTATTTTGATTTGAAAAAAAATAAACAAATTAATTACGTTGGGAAGAACGGTTAAAATTTTTAAAATTTAATGACTAAATAAATTATTTTTTCGAATTGACTTTTGACTTTTGGTGTAGATTGGGGTGGGACTGATGGTGTTCCAACAATTTGGAGGGATCAACGGGATAGGTTTCTTCGCAAGTGAAACCTTTGCCTCAGCGGGTAATCTAACACTAATTACTCGACGTAACTATCGTTTTCATAATCGTTATCGTGAATATTACGACAATAACGATTATTATGAATATACGTGCAATTTTCAATTTATTTTATTTTTCGTTTTAGATCGTTATCGAGATTTTTACGGTCAATTTTTGTGTGAAATTGCAGGTCCATCAGCAGGCAAAATTGGGACCATTGCTTATGCTTGTATTCAGGTAGTTAAAAACTTTAAAACAAACCCTAATGTTGAGGTAATTTTGTCTGAAAGTTAATCTCAGTAATTAATTAACCATTAAACTTACAGGTTCCAATTACCGTGGGTGGTGTAATTCTAATGGATAAATCTGGAAGAAGGCCACTTATTATGGTAATTTCCCATCCTCTATATCATTGTTATCATTCAAATTTTTATATAAATAAATATTAAAAATAGACTTACATTTTTAATTAACCCTTTTTTAACTTTTACTCTTTTGAGAGTTACCACAGTTAAAACTTGAGTTAAGTATTTAAATTCGTGAAACTAAGTCGAACCATACATTAGGTAGACATTAGTGTCCATACACGGTTTTACGATTTTGCAGAGACCTATGTTTTCGATAAACAGTTTTTTGGTTTTAGTCACTGTAATTCCCCTTATGAGGAGGCACTTCTTCTCCCGAGGTTACGAGGTTATTTTGCCAAGTTTTAAAATTATTTTAACGAGATTCAAATAACCACAAGATATATATTTTGATACTCAAATTTTCACCGATTTTTTTTTGTGGTAATTTTTTAATAACGGTTGGATGTAGATTCGAAATCTGCATGTCTCTAATAATTACGAGATGTAAATTTGAACTATGGTAGCTCGGGATTATGAATGAATGGTTTATTTCAAGGTATCTGCAGCTGGGACTTCTCTTGGTTGCTTCCTTGCCGGAGCGTCTTTCTTTCTCAAGGTAGTGATCATAATCTTCCGTTACATAACCAATCTTTCGTAACGTTAATCATCCTTCTTCTACTTTCATTTTCAACTTTAGAGCCATGGTTTGCTGCTCGAGTTCGTGCCCGTGCTTGTGGTCGTCGGAGTGTTGGTACGACTGTGCTCCTTCTAACTAAATCTCTAAATCTCGAAGATTAAATATTAACGTTGTCGTGGTTTAAATTGGATGGTTAGATATTCATTGCATTTTTCTCAATTGGAATGGGAGCAGTTCCTTGGGTGATAATGTCTGAGGTAATCATCGAATTAAATGCATTATTTTCGTATTAAAATGAGAAATTTTCAATAAATAAATAAATAAATATATTATTTATTAATTTAATTTAATTTTATTGGTAGATATTTCCAATTAATGTGAAAGGAATTGCTGGGAGCATAGTGGTGTTGGTGAACTGGTTAGGTGCTTGGGTTGTCTCTTTTACCTTCAATTTCTTCATGAGCTGGAGTTCTTCTGGTAATTTTTTCTTTTTTGATGAAAAAAAAATTATTTATTTGTTTATTTTAATTTTTTAGTTGAAGATATAGAAACACGTTTGATAATTATTACCTAGTCGTTAATTTTTATTGAAAAATAAAATAGAATCGGGGTCGATGTAGTAGAAAAATGATAATAAAATATTTAAAATTTTACTAAACCCTCATTTTTCAATTCGAATATAGTTTTATTTCTAAATTTTGAATTTAATTTTTATTATTTCTAAATTATGATGTACAATTTACATTAATTAAATTAGTTTTCACTAATTTTCTGTCACAATTTAAATTATTTTAAACTAATTAATCGGAGATTAACACTAAATACCAAAAAAAAATTGTAAAAATTCAAAGATAAAAATATAAAATCTTAAAACTTGTAATATTTTGAAATTTAATAATTTGGGACTAAAACAACAATAATAATAATAATTATTATTATTATAGAAAAAGGGTTTAAAACTGATTTCTAACATTATTTTTTATTTTTTATTTTTGGTTAATTTCAGGGACATTTTTCATTTACTCTCTAATATCTTTGATGACAATTCTATTCGTGGTCAAGTTGGTCCCAGAAACCAAAGGAAAAACCCTAGAAGAAATTCAAGCATCCATTGATTCCCAAAGGGACATTTAAGTAATTTTGACAGCAAAAACTGTTTTTTATTTTATTTTATTTTATTTATAATTAGCATACTTTCATTTATAGAATTCAATTCAATTCTGCAAGTATTAACGCCTTTCTTCAATAATTTTTAAAAAATAATTCCATATTTATTAAAATTTCAATTTAATTTGATGGGAAATCCTTTTATAATTACTTTATTAAATATTGAGAATATTATTAATTAGATATTTTGAACTAAAAATATAAAAATACTTTTAGGTAGTTCCGAAATACTCAATTTGGATTTGAATATTCCCACCCGTAATTGTCTTTGTTAAAAAATAATAAATTAATAAATAAATTAAATATATTTTCAACTAAATAATCGATGACGCTCCTTAAAAAGGATGAAGAAAATGAGCCATAATGATGTGATGTGATTGAAAGCAAGCCTCCAATAATTCAATAATATTAAATTCTTTTTTTTTTCTATTAATCTAGTTTATTATTATTATTATTGCTATTAATTAATTAAATTTAATATTCGACTAATTTTAATAAATTTTTAATTTAAAAAGTGATTTTAAAATGATAATGTAAGATTAAAAATTATATTACAAATTTTGAAAAAATAAAAATATTTTTTTTAAACAAATTAGAATTAAAAAGAAAAAAGAAAAAAAAAAAGAAGGAGCGGAATTTGACATTTTTCTGCCTAGTGTTCACATTTGTGGACCCCAGATTCGATTGCCCACGTGGGCGAGTTTTCCTCTGTCTTCTCATTTGTTCCCCTCATGTTCTTACTTTTTCTATTTCCACCCTCCTTTTTCTTACTAATTAACTTTCTGACCCTTTTTTTTTGTAAAAAAATATTTGAAAATGGCTTTTTTTTTCCTTCAAATAATCTATTAAATATGTCATTTCATGGTCTAGGGGCATTTCCTAAAATGGGAAAATAAAAGATAAATTTATTTTCTCTCCCTAAATCCAAAATAAAAAAATTATGTAATGAAATATTGTAATATTTTTATTTTATTTAGAATAGTAAAAAAGGAGTAAGTAACTCAAAATTTGAAAAGTAATTAAAATTTCAAATGTCATTTTTTTTTAATTTGAATATTTAATTGAGATTAACACATTAATTTACTTTTTTAGTCATAATTTTGCTTTATTATTTTTTTTCGAATAAATAAACACAATTAAAAAATAATTCCTTTTTAAGTCTTCCAAATTTATTTAAAAAAAAAAGAATTGATTTCTTTTTCTTTTTAAGGGAATAAAAATCTTATTACGGACTCCAGTGGATAAATATTGTCTTTTTTTGTGGGTCCACTTGTTGAAAATCCCAATAAATAATCATTAAAATACTAAATAAAATTAATGGAAAATACAAAAATAAAATAATGTTTTTATTCTTATTTTTCCCTTTTAGGTAATGAAATCAAACAAACCAGCTTCATCCACTCCACAGCCGACGGTCTGAAAATAAAAACAATCATTTAATTTTTAAAAATTAAGTTGATAAATACTATTTATAAATTTATTTATTTTTTTAATCTTATTTTAAAATATATTTTTTTGAAAATATATTTTCAAAATTTAATCTAAATTTTAAAACTAAAAGTGAGTTATTTTTTATAAATATTTTTTTAATTGAAATTTGATTAAGAATTTAAATGATTAATTAAACATAAAAACTATTATTAAAAAATCGTGGAAAAATAAACCGTTTAAAAATATCCATTATCAATTATCAATTTGTTTTTATTACTTTAAAAGTCCTTATTTTTTAAATAACTTTTAAAAAAAGTAATATTAATTTTTCTATAAGCATATATTTTTTATAACAAAATAATATAAAGCGTGTTTTAAATTATCAAAAGTAATTTTAAAAAAAATCTTATTAAATAAAAAATGCGTTAAAATAAGATTAATTCAAAAACTTTTTGAAAGAAACACTTGACTTTAAAGTGATTAATGGAATAAATCTTTAAATATTTATTTTTTTTATTAATTTATAAAAGGGCTTTTCAATATAGTTAATCCAAACAATTTTTTTATTTAAAAAATATTGAAAAAAATATATATTTTAAAAAATGTTTAAATGGAATTGAACCAAAGTTAAAATAAATAAATAAATAATAATAATAGAGGCTTTGTCATATAAGCTAGGATCAAGTAATTGACTTTATTAAATAACAAAAAAGAAAAAGAAAAAAAAAGAAAAAAAGTTGGACACTAATTAATAAAATATGAAAATTAATTTATTTTTTTTTATTTTTTTTTTATAGTAAGTCAAACCATTCCCATATTCCTCTCTTTTTGATAATCTTTGCAAAGTGGGTATTTGTGCCCATTTCTTTTCCTTTTTTATTTTTATAAGATAATCCAAATAATAATAATAATAATAATAAATAATATTGAGATTCTTTTTAGTCCAATAATTGCACAGTAAATTATGGGACTAAATTATATCTAACTTGGATTTAGTATATCTGACTTGGATTCATTCATAAATGCCTGTTTGCCATTGATCCTCACTCATTTCTACTTCATTAAGTTAAAGAAACATTAAAAATGACACAAACTGAAGTAATCAATCATGGTTTTTATACGGAAGCAAGCAAGTAACTGACCTGTTGATGGCAGATGGAAATATCGAGCTGCGTTAAAGAATATATTGTTGCATCGAGTGACCGACTACTTTATGTAGCTACTCGTTGGCTAGCCCTAAAACTAGCTTTCACTCGTAAAGTCGGTGAAATTTCTATTAGGTTTATGTTTTCGGGTATACTCTTGCCTTTTCTAAGAACTCCCACTCAGTTAGCTTTCACTAATAAAGTCGGTGAACTCTCCATTAAGTTTATGTTTTCGGGTATACTCTCGTTCTTTTCTACGATCTCCCACTCGGTTCTTCTCCTTCATCGTCGTTGATCTTTTTGATTTAGATTTTTCGACCGTCGAGAAACCTATAGTCATTGATTAGTTTACCCGAGCTAAGATTTTAGTAGCAAAAAGAAGTTTATAATTAATAATTGATATAAAGTAGAGAATGAATGTCTCCGTGAACAAAAAATGTGGAATCATTCTCGTCGTTTGCTGCCTGTCTCTTTGCACCGCAATAATTATTAAAAAAAAAAAAAAAAAAAAAAAAAAAAAAAAAAAAACAAAAAATCAAAATTTACTTATTATTATTATTATTATTATTATTATTATTATTATTTGTTTATTTATCCTTTACGAAATTCAGTTTCTTTGTCTCTTTCATCACAGCGATTTCTTTCGGTACAGTCCGGAAACCGCCATCCACTCAACTCTGCCTTTCTTCACTGCAACAATCTGCGCGCCGTTTTCATTTCACTTCGTCGTCTTCATCCTTTTGATCCTTGTTTTGCTTCTGAACCGAAGGTTGTTTTTGTTTTTTGTTTTTGGTAGCTGCAAAATTTGTATGTTTCAGGAGCGACAATTGGTAATTTCTTGTGTAGATTTTCAGGGGAGTGGTGAACGGAGAGGAAATGTTGCTGCAGAGGAATTTTTTGGTTGTTTTAGTGTTGATTGGAGTGGTTTTTGGAGCCAATTTGAGCGTTGTAAAGGCATTGCCACGACGAATTCTCTTGGACACAGATGTGAATACTGATGATTTATTTGCTCTTTTGTACCTCTTGAAGCTTAATCGAACGGAGTTTGAGTTGGAGGTAATCAGTAATCTCACTTGGTTAGTTCATTGTTTTAAGTTGTTCTGCGTTTAACTGATTTGGAGTTCATTATCTTACCTTTTCTTCCGGTTTCGAATCTCTTACATATTTTAAACTGTTATCTAATGTTGTTGTTTGCAAACGAATTAAGGTATGCTATTAAACAGGATTTTGAATTCTCGTCCATTCTCCTGCACAAACCTAACACAAAAATGGTAGTAGAGTTTACCTTTTTCGTTTTGAAGCTTGTAATTGAAGTTATTGTCATTGGAGCCAAATGGACCTTCTCACACACGAATAATCAACTCAAGAGTTGAGATGTTCATATGCACTAGCTAAAATCTAGTCTTCAGATCAATGTGGAATAATTGAATGGTCACCTCTCGCACACTGGTCCTTGGGGGATCGACTTTATCATCGATTCGATATCGTGTACGGCTGCAGAGTTGTTTTAACCATGCACTTTGCATTAAAATGAACATTTTCAACGTAGAAGCTAGCTTATGCAGTGAGGGCTTTCTTTGTACTTTTAAACAAATGTTCAACTCCTTAACACAATAGTTTAGAATTCCTCTGGTCCTTCTACCAAAGTAAAATAACCGCAACCAGTTATTTCACTGTTTTACCAAGGCATGGTTGGTTGGAGGAACCTGAAAAACATTACCACTATTTATTTTCTTCAACACGTCATTGCTGAAGCAAATTAATGAAAGAACCTTCATTACATGTTGAAGTAGTTGAGTGTCCAAAACTGTGTGTGTGTGTTGTTTAACTGTGTCCTTGGTAAGTATACCTTTCCTTCTAGTTTGATGGAGCCTGCCGCCAACAATATGATTCAGAAATAGGAAACTGAATGCATGTAGTTTGTAGACTGGTTGCTATTCTTGTCATCAGGATTGTTATTACATTGCTGCAGGCAATCACTATTAGCGCAAATGCTTGGACAAGTGCTGGACATGCAGTGAACCAAATCTATGATATTCTTTATATGATGGGCCGCGATGATATTGCGGTTGGAGTTGGAGGAGAAGGTGGAATACTCGATGATGGAACAATTCAACCCAACGTTGGTGGATATATTTCCATAATTGACCAGGTTAGAATACATTTCTTTCGTTGCAGCAAGACATTTCCTTTGTTTACAGACAACAATGACTGCTAGGCTCATTGCTAAGAACTATGCTGTCATGTTCTTATGACAGTCAAATATAGTTTTCTAATGAACAATGAATCTACAGATTCAGAAAGTTTTATTCCATACACAAAACAAAGAGTCCATATGTTGCATGCCAAAGTGAATGTTAATGATATCAGGGATTGACGACTACAGGCGGATGTAGATA